GGAGCAACGAGCTTGGAGGGAGCTGTTTTTCAGCTCTTCCTAGTTTTAAAAGAGATTGCACACTGTGCAAGTTCAGCTTTTCCTTGTCTCAGTGTCTCATTTCACTGCTGTATTTTCTTTTTAACATGCAAATACACCTTCCAGCCTCATCAGATAGCCTTGCCTTTGACCATCCAAAGAAAAACAGGATGATGCAGGAGGGGTTAAGGTGCAATGAAAGAAAGCAACGTAAACCACGCACACTTTTAACCACTTCCTTGTGATCAGCTGCAATTTTTAAGTGTGTTACCCCAATGCTGTCACCAAAAAGATAGAAATCAAAATTATTTTAAGTTAATGTAGGTAAAGAATTACAGGCCATTAAGCACTACATTGAAACTCAAAGCAGGTATGGTGATCATCTTTTACACATGGTTCAGGCAAAGGATGAATTCTACTTTCTAGACGGGTTTAAATCTGCTCCCCCTTGAGATTAGATTAGATTGGGGTGGGCCCCACTTTTCAGGGAAGATTCACTCTTGGCCTAAATAGAGAGGATCACTCCCTTGTCTGGCATACAGTGTGAAGTTAGAAGATGTATCTTTGAAGTTTCCCCTTTCACCCTAAAAAGTTATAAAATTTTTATTCAGAATTTATACTCCTATTCATTATAATATAAACTTGATATACTTAATCAGTTCCAGTACATCATTTACCTTTCTCTATAATCCTATGTAAAATGGATAATTCAAAACATTTTCCACACACACATGCAGGCAGCTTCTGTCCCTGGCATATCACATTACCATATATATATACACACCGTTTGGGATTAATAGGAGAAATCTACAGCTCTGTGTGTATGAACAGGACTCCAGAGCTGCAACACACAAAAACCTTCCAGCAAGTTTCCATTACAGAAATAAAGCCACTTATTGTGACAAGTCATGTGAGAGATTCCAGTTAAATTCTGCATGAACGTGTCTGAGTTCTGACTGCGCGCCTCAGAGCCTGACGACTGGATAAAGCTATCAGGTCCCACCTGACCCAAAAATGTTAAAGAAGGATTAAGTTGATAGAAGATAGTCATTAGCAATGCCTCAAAAATTAGATGGATAAAGAACTCATAGAGTAATTACTAATCACAAAGAAATGCCAACTGTAACCAAAATTAAAATGTGAACTGACAAAAGACGCTTAAGACATAACAGCTGCGTTCAAAGGGAACAGATGAGACTAGATCCCCATTTCCTATCTCTTTTTGTTAGATGAAAGAATGCACACATACCAAAATACCACCAAATCATCCTCAAATCACTCTCCCCTAGGAGCGCTGGGAGCAAGTACAAATGGACTTTGAGATAAATCTTTGCTAATCTCCAAGCCCAAGTGGATCTTTAAAGTCTGCAATCGCGGCTGCACTGCTTCAGTAAACTGAATGAATTTTACTTTAAGACCGATTTGAAGGCAAGAAAATTATAAAGCCATTTATATCAAACAACAATGACATCAAAAACCTTTCTTTATTGGAAGAGTTGAAGGGAATTACAAGGTAGTACCACTCTTACATTTAATGCCCTGCTGGGAACTGGGTTTTAAAGAATTTATTTGGAAGGTTAAATTTTGACTATGCAAACATAGTTATTTTTTTTTCTTTAGCCTTGGAAACTGAGGAATGATGAATACAGTTGGGAAGAAGTAAGAGATGTATTACCAGGCAGCCTTCTAAGGAGCAAAGCAGGGAAAGAGTAGGGATGATTTGTTTCTTTTTTGCCAAATTACATCATGGAAATGATTTTTCTATGTTCTATGTTTTCAAATTTTACATCTAAAAATTTTTAGAAGAATAATATAAGATAGTCATTAGTAATGCCTCAAAAATTACATGGATAAAGAACTCATAGAGTAATTACTAATCACAAAGAAATGCCAACTAGGAGCAGAAATACTGTTTCCACTTGGGGAATATTACCAAGGCATGAGCCCTAAAAATGTACACGCTGTTTAAGAAAAGAAGAGTTCAAGGAGGTCTTTGGCTCTGCCTGTGCCATTTTTATATGACTTAATATTGTTATTTCTGAGTCAAACTGAGATGTCTGGAATGTATGAACCTTTCATCATTATAATTTCCACTGGAAATAGGAACCAACACAGCCAGTACAGCTGTTCTGACTTCAAGTGATCCACTTTCTGTGCTTGGCTTCAGTTCTTGTCAAGTGATCCACTTTCTGTGCTTGGCTTCAGTTCTTGCTTTCTGTTGAACCCAGTACCTTTTTGCTATAACCTCAGAGTACCATCTGACAGCTTCATCACAGGAAGATCTCACCACTGAAGCTGATAAGTAGAGGAGAATACAGGTTTGTTGCTAGAAAGGAACTGGCAGGTTCACATAAACCTCAGGATGTTCTGGCTCTCAAATAGTTCACTTTCTTCTTTAAGAGAGAGGGAACTATTTACCTCAAATGTAAACTGGAAGGACACAAGTTGTGCACCTGAATTAAATTCGAAGCCTAGAAATTTGCAATGAACCACACATCTATTATCTTATGCATCTTACTATGTACGACGGCATGTGGTTTGATAAGGACCATCACTGAAAAGCCTCTGCTTTGATTTCTGTATGTGTCAACAGACAGGACCACAAGAAGCATTTTCTCAACTGGCCAGACTGATACATAACCTGTGAACAAGGGCTATCCTTCCCTTCGGGAGTTCACAGAACATATCAGAGTCTTGTAGATGGCCCACTGAAGGTCAAAGATCTTATGCTGTTCTCTCGCTCTCTCTCTCTTTTTTTTTTTTGTGACACAGTGTTAACTTTTTTTTTTTTTTTTGACACAATCTAACTTTTTCATCTTGGATAGAATACTATTTTGTCATAGCTCACAGCAACCTCAAACTCCTGGGCTCAAGCAATTCTCTTGCCTTGGCTTCCCAAGTAGCTGGGACTACAGGAGGCCACCACAACACCCGGCTATTTTTACAGACGGGGTCTCACTCTGGCTCAGGCTGGACTTAAACCTGTGAGCTCAGGCAATCCACCTGCCCTGGCCTCCCAAATGCCATGATTACAGACGTGAACCACTGTGCTTGGCCCTTATGCTATTCTCTTAAGGCTAAAAAGTTAGCTTTATAGCATTGAGGCTCCCTGAATTATTATTCAAAAGGTAGATGAAAGAGATATCTATCTGTTCTTACACAAAAGCATATGTTTGTAAACACACAAATAAAATTATTACCTTGCATTAGTATAAGGAGTACACAGAAAAGATATTTATAGATAAATTGAACTCTCCTCCAATTTTAATCTATTATATGGTTAATTGTGTCTAACTTGATTAATGAAGTATGATTTATACACATATAAAAAAAGATCAGAAAATATTAATAGAAACCAAAAACCTTTTGATTTCAAATCTTGATTTATCAATAAGAAGATATAATATTTTAAAATAAAGCCCAATGGAATATGTTTCAATATAAATTCAGAAGTCAGTAAACCTCACATTAATAAAGGACACACTGATATGAATAATGAAAAAAGTAATTACTGAGGTTGGGTTTGTTTTATAGTCTTCCTAAAGCTTTTGTACTAATTTGAAAAAGTTTTGCATTATTCTCTCACAATAAATAAATGCAAATAAGCAAATGAGAAATGCTCAAACTCACAAATAACAATGAAAAAGATAAATACCAATGATAAAAATAATCTTCATCAAATGGCCAATGATTAAAATTATGAACATAGTCAATGCTGGGAAAGACGCATGAGAAGCCCTCTCCATCACGGGCAATCAGAATCTAGCCTGGTGCCCCTAACAATATCTATTAATGTTAACCTATTTGCATTTCTATGACTGTGTTCTTAGATTCAAAGCATAAAGTCAATGATTTCTGTGAAAAAATATGGCTTTCAATCTTAGCTTTAAAAAGAAAACCTAGAAATAACCTAAAAGATCAACAATAGAAAATAGTAAGAGAATATTCCCAGATGACAAAATCTTAGGTATCTATCTGAAGAAAATTGTTTTCATTGAATAGTTCATAGCAGAGAAATCTTATCATGATGTCACGAAAATGGAAAAAGCAAGATACAAAACTAGGCATACTGTATAATTACATCCCAGGGCACACAGACGTATGCAAATATTCAGGCATGTCAAGATACGGGAAAGAATAAAACCAAAATTTTACTAACCACAAAGGTAAAAATAATTTTTAACATTTTTCTAGTTTATTATGAGTGAACTTTTCCCCTAAGTCAAAAATACAACACGCAGTACTCTGCAAACCTGCCACATCTTCAGGCACGAACCACCAACGTAAGACAAACAGTCCTTTTCTCTGACCTGGAGCCCGTCCCTCTGCAACCTCACACAGGAAGGGACCTCACTCAATCAAATGATCGGTTACACACACACTTAAATGCAACTGAATATAATGGTCTATTTACAAAATTCCCAACAGTAATGATATAACCAACCATCTCCACCTTTTCTTTCCGTCCTTTTATTCACTGGGATGAGAAATAACCATGACCCAAACTAGCTAAACGCTTTCATTTTGGATGTTAGGAGATTGTGTGAAGCCCCAACATAAATACATCGTACAGACAAACATGTGGAATAACTGAAGTATAAGGAAAAGACATTTTAAAAATAAATGCATGGCCTACCTAGTCCAAGAATAGATGGTGCACATAAATTGTTATTCTATTTCCAATGTTACCATCGCATTTTAATTTTATTTTAGAACTCACTGATTTGGATGAGTTTACATTTTATATTTAAATGCATGAGTTCACATTTTAATATTAGCTGACTATTTTTAGTTATGTCATCTCACATATCTTAGGACCTAATTGACTACTGATTAAAATAATTGATATTTTAAATAGTTTCATACACAAATTGAGCGTACAACGTAAAATGAAGCAGACGCTCCTCGGGAAAGAGAGGTCGCTGAGAAGATAGTGTCAGGGCCACGAGCAGCAAAGGTTGACCTGGTTTTCAGGTCCTTACCTGACGTCTGTGCACGTTATGCAAGAGATGTCTCGACTGTTGGTTGTGATCAGGTTCAGAGCTACTGAGGTGTCCTTGTTGGAGGTTGGGTGTGCTCCACATTTAAAGAAAAATTCCTGAAAGAATGAGAAATACCATAACACACATGGATCCTGGCTTCCCATCTTCCCCTCTCTAAATATTTCTACAGTGCATATTTCTTCTCTTTGGGCAAGAGAAGAAATCTATTATTGGCTGTGATGCAATAATAAATCAATGTCAAATATTTTGAGGGCCCGTGTGTTAAACTGGTCAATGATTCCCTTCTAGAAGGGTCCCCCTGTCTATGCTAGTCATCTCTTCCTTTGCTCTTTAAACCAGGGAATGGGAAACATACCCCATGCTCCTACTTTAGCAATGCCCCTGGATAACAAGTGAGTCTAGAAGAAGAACAGCATGTGGATGCAGGAGGAAGCCAAAAATAGCATCTCATAAATGAAGAAAGGGAGACCCGGAGCCACGGAGTGATTTACCTGAGGTCAAACAAGCAGAGACGAAGCCAGGAAGGAACCCAAGCTTCCTAAAGGGAAATCTAGTGCTTTTTATCCACTATCATGACACAGCGGATCATTTAGCAGTGCAGAAATCTAAAGAACCCTGCTATAAATAAGCACACCAGCACACAGGGACTTCTAGTGCACACAGGAGAGCAGCGGAGTATGACTCTCCCTGGCCTGTTTGGAGCTTGCCCCTCTCCTGCCTCTCCTCAGCATGGAGACTTCCCTGGGGCACTCAGCACACCCCTTCTTCTGCACCACACCAGGCAGCTAGGACTGCCTGAATCCCGTCCCTCACTCCCTCTTATTCTTTCCCCAGCTATGTCCCGCAACATACTCCTTCATTTAGCTTTTTGAATAGGTCACCATTTTATTGATAATAATCTCCCTTCTTAACCAAAAAACTTGTTTTTATTTTTCTTCACTTCTTTCCTTTCCAATTTCTATGTGTGTTCTCACATCTCTTCTTTCCATTCACCAAGGCATTTGGCCAGTACTGCTCTGCTTCTTGTCAGTCTTCCATGACACTAACATCCAGAAAGCAACACTTTCTGCTACTGCAAAAAAGTTATACAAATATTGTACGGAGAGTAGAAGCAGGTGTGATCACAGCACCTGCTCCTAACTCCATTCACATGTAACTACCTGGAAGGTAGAAAGTATTTTCCTTTTAAACACCTGATGTCAACAAACTTTTATGTGAAGTGCCAGATATTAAATGCTTTTGATTTGGGGGACTATACGGTCTTCATCACACTTCTGAACTTGCTGTTGTAGTCCCAAAGCAGCCATAGACAAAATGTAAATGGTGGGTGTGGCTTTGTGCTAATAAAACTTTATTTACAAAAGTGAGTGGCAAGTTGGATTTTGCCTGAAGGCCATAGTTTGTCCAATCTGAACTGTCTGTGGAATGCTTGATTCATATCTGCATCCTAACAGTGCCTCGCATAGCAAAGGCACTTGATACAGGTTTTAAAAAGACTTATTTAATCAATGCTTGGTTGTGCCCTTATACATTTGACAGCACCATTTAATTTATTCATTTCCTACTTACCATCTTATTCACCTTCCTATCTTCTGACAGATGATACCGTGAGCAACACTGGAACGTCTCCACAGTGTGCATCAGAGCTCCCGGGAGAGGGAGGCACCAGGTTTTAAAGTAGAGACTGCTAAGCACTACCCAGAGCCTCTAAATTCTGGGGTTTGGTCAAGGATTTGCATTTCTAACAAGGTTCCAGGTGATGTTGTTACCACCATTCTGGGAACCACATTGCGAGAACCTTTGAGTTACATCAACCTTAGTGTCAAAGTGAGTAAACTTTGTTCTCTCAGAAAACTAAAGCTATAATGATCTTGCTTACTATATCTGGAAATAAGGCCACATCTCAATTAAAATATGACATTTTTTTCAAAACTCTTGAGTGTGCCATTTTAAAGAGAAGTGTTCCAAAGTCAGGAATTTGGAATCCAGGCTGATCTTCATTACTAGTTTCCAACCAATCCCATGTGCTATATAACTGCTAACTAACTAGAACCTACCCTACCTGGGAGCAGCAGATTAGCCAACACGCCCACCTGCAGTCCTCAACCATAGATGAGAGCCTATCGAGAGTCTTGCTAAAATAGATGGGATGTCCAGTGTGTGTGCAGAGCCCAGGGCCAGGTGTGTCTAGAGCAGTGGTTCTCAACCTGTGGGTCGTGACCCCTTTGTAACATTGAAAATACATCCTGCATACAGATATTTACGTTACGATTCATAACAGTAGCAAAATTATAGTTATGAAGTAGCAATGAAAATAATTCTATGGTTGGGGGTCACCGTAACATGAGGAACTGTATTAAAGGGTCGCAGTATTAGGAGGTTGAGAACCACTGGTCTAGAGAATTCTGCCCCGGGCCCAGGTCCTTCCCTGGGGCAGCAGGGAAGTCATGCTGCCTGCTTTTTTTCCCTCTGAACGTGTATGCCATCTTTTTTACTCAATCTTTTGAAATGCTACAAATCCAGTCCTCCAAAGCAGTTCAAGGGTAGTGAGAGAAAGATTTAAAACAATTCCCTACCACTAAAACAAAAAGTTTGAAGGACATGACCGAACCTTATGAAATGCATTAAGCTAGCTACAACTGCTTTTTGCAGACATGAAAAAAAAGTCCTCATTCATAATATAAAGTAATTCCTCCAGAATAGCTGAGTTAGCTGGACTATTGAGAAGGTATTTCATATATAGATAAATAGATAGAAAGCATTTATATTTTTTCTTAGCTTGCAGAAAGCTACTGGTAGACATTCAGCTAACAAATCACAAATTGTTCTAACACTAGATAAAATTCAGCCAGATAAAAGCTTTTTTATTGGGGGTGGATGTTTATAGATAATGGACTAAGAAGTCACAGATATTTGGAAAAATCCAGTAATTCATATGGTGTGATAAAACTGAAATATGAATTATCAGCTCTGTATATTAAATATGTATGTCTCATCAGTGAATTTCAGTGCTTTCTCCACCAGTTTTTATGACAGAAGGTTTTCTATTATTCCACAGTACTCGAGTAATTGACAAAAACTCTGAAGGATCCGAGATGTTACCCAGTTTGAAAGCTAACAAGAAAGCCCGCCACAGTATAACGGATGCTGGTGAAAGATGAGAGACTCCCAGATCAGAGACCAAGGACTCTGGAGCTCAGAGCACAGGCAGAAGGAAGCATCCGCCTCATATTAACTCAGCTCCGGCACCGCGTCCCTTAGGCTGGATGCTGATGGACCAAGCCTGACGCTGCATGTGCAGTGGGTCTGCATGGGGTCTGCATCACAGCTGAGGACCCTGCTGAAGGACACCAAGTCTCTTATTGGTAGGGAAGCCCTCCTTTTGTCCTGAAAGGAGACGCTGTCTTTACTATACTGAATAATAAGCATCTCTGCCCGGTGATCTGGAGCGACATTATCTCTACCTTCCAGGGTCATTTGCTATCATCTTTCTTGAAAAGATAGTCCAGAGCAAAGAGAAGGTCGTGCCGCTCTCACAGGACAAGCAGACACATGAGGACGACAGGAGCACCATCTCCCAGTGGTCACAGTCCCTTTGTCACAGGCCAACTGGCAGAGGGACCTGGTCATTTTCTCCGCTATACAATCAGTGGGCTAGGATTTTCCAAGTTTTTCTGACATTTCCATTTGCATTCAAAACAACAATAAAGCAGAACAAAACAGAAGTTAGAAGAGTCTTTTTCCACAATTCTCCCTTGGGTATCTGAGAGAGTTTGCTTACACTGGGGTGTCGTCTCACAGTTGCTTGATTCTTTGGGCTAAGTGTCTATGAATTCTGCTTTTCTCTGTTTTGTTTCTCCTAATTATTCAGGATAAAAAATCAAGGAAGCCAAGGCTGGCAAAGTCTTCTCGCTGGAGTCCATGCAGGCTGGACAGAGAGCTGACAGCACTGTGAAGACATCTGGGCACAGCAGGGCCCCGGCAAACATCTCCAGCCAGGCTCAGTGACAGCGACGATGCCTGAGGACCAGGCTGCCCTGGTTCCAGTGGGAGTGGAGGCTGGGAGAGAAGTTGCTTCTAGGTGGCTAAGGAAACACTCCCTATTGGGAGCAGCAGGGAGGATGTCCTGTCTCCCAGGAGGACGCTGTCAATTCTAGTGAGACCAGTCAAGAATCCTCTGCTGAGGGTAAACTGTCTTAGAAAGGGGCCCAGCCCACCCTGGGGAAATGCCAGTTCACAGACGCATCAGCTATGAAAAAGAAAAATAACAAGTCTTGTTAAATTCAATGATTCTTCCATCTAACCAGGAGCTGTACTTCCCACTGGCAAGCTCACTTCATTTGGTTCCGTAGGCTCACTTCTGAGAAACCTTAATTTGCTAGGGAGCTACACTCTGTGACAGTAACTGGTCTGCTGCTTTTGTTTTCTTTTCAAATGATAGTCTCAACTATTGTTTTTAAACACCTGAAGAAAACAAAGCCTTAGAAAATGTGCTTGGCTTTATAACGTGGCACTGTTAAACACTGTGTAAGCATTTCCCTCATGAGTGTCAAGCCTGAGATACCTGCACACATATTCCTTAGGTTCTCAGAAACTGAACTCGTATTTCTACCATTTCTTTGGATAAGGTTCTTATATTTTGCCACAAGTCACATGTCCTCATTCAGGTCTAATTTGGGTCAGACCCACTGACACAGAGGGCCCCCAACACATCAGCTCCACTGTCTGCAGCACCTGGGAAGACACCCCCTTTCTGAGACTCCACTTGGACACCCGTGATTCATGAGCAATGCCGCTCACACACAAGAGGAAAACCTATAGCAACAAGCAGAATAAATAACCAGTAAAATCTGAAAATTAAGTCAATACCAAGAGCCCAACTGTATAAAAGCTTTCAGAATTAAAAGCTAATTAGTCAGCTTCATATAAAATTTGTTAGATTCCAATTACTATGGAAATGGCTGACAAGTGGCTTAAAAGTCCTCCTTGTCCCGGGACCCATGGATCTTCTAATAGCTTTTATTGAACATTCTAAAGTTAAACTTTTTTTACAGGTATTGTTTTGCAATTATGTTTTCCAAATAAAGTGCTGTAT